GATTAATTGACACTGCGTTTCATAGTCTGTTTATCTTCATTTATGTTTTCAAATAAGTGAATTTCCTCATTATTTTCATATATTTCGTGTACAGTGAAAATGGATCCTGCTGGCACTATATTTTAATGTTGCTTAGTCTTCTGGGTCAGTGAGGAGGAAAAGGCGATGATGAAGAATAGCTGTGCTGGCATCCATAGGCTCGGCAACATGTGGAATGATTTTTTTGGTTAATTCTTTGACTGTGAGCTCATTCAACCTCATGGTAACTGTACTCACATTGGAAAAATATTAACCACAATTTAATAACAAACTATATGCAAGTTTGGTTCAGCATGCCTTCCATTATCAGATGTTCCTTTCTTTAATGAATAAAATACTTTGTAACCTCCACCTCCACCACCAGCCCCTATATTCCCTCCTTCTCCAGCCCCACTCCCTCCCAATTGCTGTAACTCTTCCAGCTGCTACACCTCTCCCTTTCTTGTAAGCTCCTCCAGGCATACAATCCACCCTGTCTCTGTAACTTTCATGAGTTACTACAGCCCTACCTATCGCTGTAACCTCATGCAGGATCTACACCCTTCCCTTCTCTCAAATCTCCTCTATCCCCTACACTCTTCCTATCTCTGTAATCTCCTCCTGCCCCTTCACCCCTCCTTATCTCCGTAACCTCTTCCAGCCCCTACCCCCCCTCATGATGGTGAGGCGATAGCCTAGTAGTATTATTGCTGGACTGTTGATTGAGAGACTCAAGTAATGTTCTGGGGACCTGGGTTCAAATCCTGCCTTGGCAGGTGGGGGTGGAATTTGAATTCAAATCTGGAATTAAGAGTGTAATGGATGACAATGAATCAATTGTCGGGAAAAATCCATCTGGTTAATTAATGTTCTTTTAGAGGTAAAACAAAACTGCCATCCCTTACCTGGTCTGGCCTACATGGGACTCTGGACACACTGCAATCTGGTTGATTTTAAATTGTCCTCTGGGCAATTGGGGATGGGCAATAAATGCTGGCCTAGTCCCCCTCATCCTGTGAATGAATGAATTTTTTTTAAAATCTGTAACTTAGTGTAGATGTACATTTTCCCCTGTCTCTGCATCCTCCTCCATGACCTACACCCCTCTCTATCTCTATATCCTGCTTCAGCATGTACACACCTTATCTCTGTAACCTCCTCAT